GGTGCCACCCTGGCACCCAGGGGTACAGGGACCTCCTCTGGCCGAGGGGTGCCCTCACGGAGGATGGCCTCTGGGGGCCCTAGAGCCCGCCGCCAGTGCAGATCTGTGCGGAGCTATCTGTGAGCGGCTCCCTTTTCCGCCTGCAGCCCCGCCCCCACCTGGGCTCCTCAGAGTCCGGATGCGTCCTCACCTGGCTGCCGCAGGGAGCGGAGGCAGTTCTCAGGCTGAGTCTCACGCTCCCAGCGGGGTGGTCTAGGGTGGTCTGGAGCAGCTGTGATGGGGGCGCTAATCCCCCCACTTGCAGCGGGCGTCTGGTGAGTGTCCTCTCCCTGGCTCGTTGGTGGCCACCTTCCCACTGTGTCCTCGCTGTGGCCGAGATACAGCCCCTCTGTCCTCTTCTCAAGAACGCACACCCCGTCCTGCAGCTCCACTCGCCCCCCCGACGCCCACCTCCCGAAACGGTCCGGGGCAGCACACGAACTTCCGACACCCGTTCAGTCCAGGGCACAGCGCCTGCTCCAGAAGCCCCTGGGCCCCTCCGACCGCCCCCAGCGCACTAGAAGCAAGTCCCACTCCGGATGTTTCAACCCGTCTGCGCCCCATATGCCACTGGCTTCTGGGGCGGAGCAGCACGTTCCCGGCTCCGCCAGGGCACGGCACGTTGGGGCGGAGCTTCTTCGCGGCTGCGTGGTACTCAGCCGCCGGGCTGGGCGCGTGGCGTTTGCCCATCATCCGCTAGCAAGCCCTTGGGTTGTTCCAACTTCCTGGCTTTTGTGTGTAACGCTGCTGTGAGCACGTGTCCACGCTTCTGCGGGGGTGCCCAAGTCTTTCGTAGCTCTTGGCATATGCGTTATATGTTCACAATTAAAATGCACAACAGAAAGAATGGAAAAGCTCGCAGGTGCCGACAGGGGGCGTCCTCTACGATCCGCAAAGCTGGGCGCGGCGGCCCTGGCAGCCCAGGGCAGGGCCCCAAAAGAACGAACAGGGCCACCCGCTTCCTTCCTGCCCAGCCCCCTTGTCTCAGGTACTTCCGCCCCTCCTCACCCCGCCTTCCCCACACTCACGGACACGGGGCTCTGCAGGTGGAAATGGGGCATTTTCACCTTCCTGAGCTCAGGCCTGGGAGGACAACAGGTGGCCGGGGCGGGGCCAGTGCAGCCGCGAGGTCCTGGTGGCCGAGCGCTGGCTGCTGACAAGCCTGCACTGCTGAGGCCAAGGTAAGTGGACTGGGGGCCAATGGGCCGGGGTCGAGGGGAGGTGATGCCACCCACAGAGGGGGGGGACAGGGGCAGGGGGCGAGGTGCTGCCGGAGGGGAGGTGGCCTAGCACAGGCCCAGCCGCAGAGCCCAGGTCCAGCAGGGCGCAGCCTGGGAACAGATGGGTTTCTAGAAGGAGGGTGCGCTGGAGTCGGGCAGGAAACGGGTTTGCAGAGCATCCCCACGCGGGGCTCTTCCGTGTGTCGTCTGGGAAGCGGCGGCCTCCTTGGTCCCGGGACAAGGCCCAGACCTGCAGAGGCTGCCGGGGCCCCTGCCGCCCCTCCTGCCCATGTCCCCACATCTCACTGTCCGCGCTGCCTAGAATGTCCCTCTGTGGCCGCCCGCCCCTCAGGGTGCAGCCGCCTCGTGCTCACGGGGCCGGGCCGGGGTCCTGGCAGCCCTACGCCTCGCTTACAGAAGTTCAGGGAAGGTCGCTGACCTGTGTCTGGCTCCAGGAGGGGGCAGCTGGATGTTGTGGATGGGGCGCCTGCCCCAAATGCGCCCTCTCCTGGCCTCAGCCCCTTGCGCACAGGGGAAGAGATGTGAGGCAAGGGGGTCCCCTCTGTCCATGTGGTGATGTCAGGATGCCTCTGACCACCCACTGGGGCGGGGGCAGCTCTGACAGGCCTCCATGGAACACAGACAGACCCCCAGGGACAGGCAGGCAGGGGAGGCCTGGGCCCCCTTCTCCCCGCACGCTGTCCTGGGCAAATGCAGTAACAGTGGACGACACAGAACTCGTACGCTCTGCCACTCTGTGACCTGGGCTCGGACAGCTCTGAGCCGTGCGGCCTGGGCGTGTGCAGCTGTGCCTCAGTTTCCTGACCTGGGAATGGGGGTGGTCATCTCTGAGCAGCCTCCAGACCCCCCCACCAGGCAGTGACCTCCTGGGTCACAGCTGCAGGAGCCTGACCGGCCACCAGAGGGCAGCCTCAGGGTTGCCAATGGGGTGGACACCTGCCGCCCAGCTCCCCTTGGGGTGTGGGTCGGAGAAGAGCCGCCGCCCCGAGGGGCCCAGCCCCTGAGAGCCCACCAGCCGCAGGCCGAGTCTGGCCCATTTCACGGACGGTGCACACACAGCCTCCTCACAGGCCCGTCTCCTTCAAATCGAGAGTGTCCCATGCCACACCCAGGGGCCAAGGCCGGCCCCAGACACCTTGGTGCCCCGCTGGGAGGGTCAGCCGCGCTTCCGAGGTCATGACCAGAAACTCCCTGTGCTGGATGAGGGGCTGTAAAGGCCCAATCTGCTGACGCAGCGGTAGAACCTCAGGCCCCAGAACTGCCAAGGCTGGGATGAGGGGATCCACCCTCCTGGGGCAGTGTGGCGGCCAAGGCCGCCAACTCACTCACGAGGCCCTGTCAGGCCCTGGCGGGAGCCGAGGTCCCTCAGACACACGTGCACCCACACCAGGTCCAACGCTAAACCGTAGACGCCTGCACAGCCCTCCCTGCGACGCAATCCAGGGCCCCCCCCAGCCACAGGTGGGGGGGATCCACTGGGCGGATTGTGGGGTTGGCTCCTCCGCCCTGGCAGGGGGTGGTGGGTCAGCTCTAGGGACAGCAGGCAGTGGACAAATGCAGCCCTGTGAGGTGCGACCTTCAGGCAGAAAAAAAGGCAGTGAGAAATCCTAATGGCTGTGGGGTGGTTTGGGGGCTGCTAGGGGGGCTGCCACCCCCTTCCCGGGTCCAGAAACTGAGGCACTGGCTGTACAGGCCCAGGCTGCGCGGCTCCGAGCGGTCCGAGCCCCCGGCCACAGGGTGGCAGAGGGCACGCGTCGTGTGTCGACCCGTCACTGCATTTGTTTCTCAGAGCAACATACTTTTCTGTCCCAGGGAGTGACTTACTATTTTCCAGTGCCGGGGCCTCCGGGGGAAGGAGCTGGGATGGGATGGTGGCGACCCCCTGTCCCTTCAGACTCCCTGACAAAACACATCAAAGATAAAACGAGGACTTTCAAGATCGTGACAGTGACCCTGAAGCCCGGGGCTTGCCCAGGATGCGGTCCCGCCAGAGCCTCTGAGGTTGTCCCCATCCTGCCTTCCCAGCGGGACCCAGGCCCTGGCTCCGAGCGGGAACATGCGGGTGACAGCTGGGGGGACCCAGGGCCCCTCGGCCCCAGAAACAGTGGAGAAGCCGATGGAAGAATGGAGGTGGGGGTCCTGGCCCCCGACTTCCTCCGGAGCCTCGGGGGGAGGGGCCGCCCCCAGTGTGGGTGCACATCCTCGCACGGCCGCTCCGCCCAGCCCCTCACTCGCCAAACTCTGCGTCTGCTCTCCAGGGGCCCCTGTGCCCCCCAGGACCACAGATGGGGGAGCAGGGAGTGGGGGTGTCCAGGGGAAGCAGGTACCCCTGCCACCTGACAGCATCCATCCCCACACTTGTCTGCTGCCCCTGGCCCCACGAGGACTCCTGACCCCGAGGTGGGGGTGGGGAGAGGGTGTGGGCTCAGGGAGCCCAGGATCCGTCAACTGTGAGGAGGGGGGGCTGGCCTGCTGGGGCCCTCAGGAGCCTCTTCCTCTGTTTTAATTCATCCGATTTCCCGCCTTCGCGCACATGCCAAAAATGTGACGGAGAACAGGAAGTAACACCATTAAAGGCAGAAATCTCTCTCCCCACTCCTGGCCTTCCCACCCGAGGTCGGTGCCAATGCAGCGCTCCAGCCGGCTCTGCATGAGGGTCTTGTCCGAATGTGGAGCTGGGGGACCACCCCACAGCCTAGGCCACTGTTGGAGGTGCCCAGAGCCCAGGGAGCCCTGTCCTGCCCTCCCCGGGGCACAGGGCCCCTCAGCCCCTCTCCTGGGCCCCCACTCCCCGTGGGCTGTTCACAGCCAGCCCGGCCCAGGGCGGAGGGTCAGGGAGCCAGGCGGCAGCCCTCACAGGGCTGTGGGCCCCTACTTGCATGCCCCCTCCATCAGAGCCCCTTCTCACTCTGGCCCCCCGGGCTCTGAAGTGCAGGGAGACCCCCACCTGGCCCCCAGGACCGTCACTGTGTCCCCGTCCGTCCTCCCTCATGTGACACTGGAACCTTCACAGCAGCAGTGCCCCGACTGGGGACTCCTGTCTTCCATTTAGAGACAGCGACCGGCAGACAGTGGGCAAGGGTCGGGGGTGGGCATCTCCACAGCAACCCCACTGAACAGCTGGGACCCTCGGTGGGGACGGCACAGCCCACTGGGGTGTGCCCCCCGACCCCAGCCTCAGACCTCAGAAACCGCTTGGTGGAGCCACCCCCAGCTGGGCCTTCCTCACATTCCCACCTGCGGCAGCTGGACTGAGGGGAGATCGCTCGCAGCCCCCCCACATGTGTGGGCTCCAGTGCCCCCCAGTCCTGCACCAGGGGGGTCCCCAGACAGTGTGGGCGCCAGGAAAGCTGCCTGGGCTGGAATCCCCAAGTCCTTAGCTGACCACTGACAGGGGTGTCACAGGCCCAGCACCGGGCCCCCTCTCTGCTGCCCGCCCCCCCCCCCCCCCACCTAAGTTAGCTCTCCCGTGGAGACGCTCCCCACAGCACCACCCGAGGACCTGGACTCGGCCACACACACAGCCCCTGCATCCTGCCGGTCCTGGGCCCAAGCCCAGCCTGCGGGTCAGAGGGAGCCTGTGCCCCCCTCCCTCACCCCCCCCCCGCCCACCGCCCAGCCAACTGAGGCTTCACTCGCGTCTGCAGAAACCACAAGCAGCTGACATGTGTTGGACATTCAGCTCCTTGTCCTGCTCTGTGGTGTCACAAAGGCCCTTGGGATGTTTTATCTGTAAGAAGTAGACTTCTTGTGCAAGTGAAGCTGGCTGGAGAACTTAGGGAAGGGCCGAAACTTGAGAAAAACAACCACCCCCAAGCTCAGTACCAGGGAGCTGGGCGGCCTGAGGCAGGTCCCAGCAGCACCCTCCTCCTGCTGGGGGGCTCGGCAGAGGACCACGGACCTGGGCTCTGGGATCCCCCACCTCTGGAGCCCCTGGGTGGGGGCACGCCTGCCAGTGCATCTGTTAGTGGGCACCTGCTGTATACTCAGTGAGGCCCGAGTGTGAACTGGGGGGAGACAGACAGGTGAGTGCATCATGGGGCCGGCGAGGGGGGTGCACAGGCTGGGGCTCTGGGGTTCTCCAGGGGATGGAGGGCAGATCAGAGCAGGGGTACCTGGTGTTGGGTCGAGGGGGAAAAGGGTGGCTTCTGGGGTCAGGGAGGCGGTGAGATGAGGCTGGGGCCCTGCTCCTGTCAGGACTCCCTAAAGGAGGACCCGCTGCTGTGCCAACTGGGGGGATCCCAGGGCCTCCCGCCCGGATGTACAGCCCCCCTGGGGAGCATGGGCTGAGGGCAGGACCACCTGGTGGGTGAGGAGAAGCCACCAGTCTGTGAGCTGCAAGGTCACCAGGGGCTGGGAGCTCAGTGGGAGAGGACGAAGGCCAGCGGTGCCCAGCCTTGGGCTGCTGGCCAGGCCCCCAGGGCAGCTGCACCAGGAGACAGAGCCAGGGGACAGGCAGACGCCAGGCCGGCCACAGCCTCGAGAGAGAGGGGTCAACGTCACAGCACTGCGAGCGTGTGGGCCTCGCTCGGACAGGTGACAGGTGACACGAGAGGTGGGAACCGGGCTTGGAAACGAGCGCAGTGGGCACTTGGCTGGAGGCGAGCTCTGGCCCTGCCTACAGCAGCCGCCGGCTCACTCTGCACCGAGCCCGTCGTCTGGAGGGCCCCGCTGCCCCTGCGGCTGCACGCCCAGGCGCTGCAGACGGAGGCACAGAGGCCACAGCTGCTGGAGGAAAGGCTGCGAACCGGCCACAGGCGCAGATAAACAAATGAGGAAAACAAGTCCGGTCAGCCCAGGACAGTCAGCCCAGGACAGACACCTTGGACAGCAGACGCACACTCTCTCCACACCCAGAACCGGTGTGGACACATCGACAGCCACCAATGCACCAGGAGCCACTCCTGAGAAATTCAGGGTGTGATTCCCTGAGGGAAATATGGAGTGATCAGGCTGGGAACAGAAGAAAAGCAGGAGGAAACGTAGAAGGGGACAGAAAACGCAGGGACAGAAGACTGGCGCGAGAGGGCCCTCGACCCAGGGAGGGCGTGTGTCCGACGAGGGCAGAGGGGAGCGAACCTGCAGGCTGAGCCGGCCGCGGGAGGTTGCTCGGAGGGCTCCCGCCCACCGCACGAGCTCCGCTGGGGTCTGCAACTCGGGGGGCCCCACGTGGGGCGGCTGAGGGGCTGGTTCTCACCAAGGAGCCCCTAAGGACTGGGGTGGCACCCACAGCGTCCTTCCTAGAAACGTCATCCCGTCACCGGCGTGCGGAAAACACCGGCAGCTGACGCTGTCGGAGAGAGCACCGATGTCCTCGTGGTCCAGGGCCACAGAGAGCCCTGGTGGGGCCGGGCCGGCCGGGGAAGTCAGGACGCCGGCCCTCCTTTGCCTAGAAGTCGGATGGATGTTTTGTTCATCGTGGATTATATCTGCACAAATGTGTTAACTTTTTTAAGTATTGTGCTAAAATGCTAATTCCTGCAGTGACTGGGGTTTCTGGTGCCCCCAGTCTGACAGTCGTGCCCGGGCAAGTGCTGCATTGTCACTGTGTCCAGCTTTGTGCCCCTGGGATGGGCTGAGCCCAGGCCCGGGAGGTGGTCCAATGGGCGTCGGGTGCCGAGGGCCCTGGAGACTGGAGGCTGCAGCCGGCGGGGAGAGGACCCCGGCTAGCAGAGGACGCAGACGGTCGCGGACCCTGCCCGCCGGAGCCCGCAGCAGGACCAGGGGGCCCTGCGAGGGACTCGGGGTGCAGATGCCGGCACTGGTAGGCGTGGTGGGAGCGAAGTTCACCTCACTTCCAGCTCTTGTTTGCTGACCTCAGGCCCGGCCCTGACAGAGGCAATAACAGCGCAGCCCTGGGCTGCGGAGTCACGGGCCGGCCGCAGGTGAGGGACGTGGCACCTGCCCCAACCCCCCCCCCCCCCGCCAGGAATGTGCCGACGGCTCATAAACAGCCATCACCTGAACAAAGGCCCCGCACTGTCTTCCAGCCGCGGCTCATCCTCCGTGCACTAGTCAGGCCCGGTGCAGTGTGGCGGCAGGGCCCTGGGGACTGCCATGTGGGCCAGCTGGTGGCTCTGGCCCCTGGTGGCCATCTGCACTGCAGACAGGTTCCAGGAAGAGGCGAAGAAAATCATGCAGGCCAACCCTCTCATTGACGGGTAAGTGGCCACTGGGGGGCCAAGGGCTGGGGGTTGGGGGCCGGGAGCGAGGCCAGGTGCCCCTGACTTGAGGCAGTCCCCTGCCCTGCCATCGCAGGGGACTTGGGGCAGTGGGCATCGAGAGAGGGGGTCCCAGTGCAGGTGCTGGGGGCTGTACGGAGGTCCGATGGGCCCGGCAGTCGGGAATAGTTAGAGAGCCAGGATGTGGGCGCCTGGGACTGTGCGGAGGCCTGGAAAGCCAAAAGGAGGTGGACGGAGTCAAAGCCAGTGACGGCAGGTCCGCCAGCATTAGCACCTCTCGCAGCCAAACGCAGCTTCGACAACAGGGAAGCCTGGGGGGACCCTGGCACGGCGTCCCACAGGGCAGGGGCTCAACGAGGCTCCCCTCCCCGGGCCACCTCAGGGCCCACAGGGGCTGCACGAGCTCCGGCTGCTCTGCCTGCCTGCCACCAGCCGGGATGCAGGGGCAGCAGGGGGCAACGGCTGTCACAGGACAAAGTTGCATGGCCACACCCAGCCGAAAGAGGACAGAAGTACCTCTTTCTTCTTTAAGATTTTATGTGTTTATTTTTAGAGAGAAGGGGAGGGAGGGAAAAAGAGAGGGAGAGAAACAGTGATGTGTGGTTGCCTCTCCTGCGCCCCCTGCTGGGGGCCTGGCCCGCAACCCAGGCATGTGCCCTGACTGGGAATCGAACCAGCGACCCTTGGTCCGCAGGCCAGTGCTCAATCCACTAAGCCGCACCAGCTGGGGCAGGAAATGTCTGTTTTGAATGGCCACGTGCCCTGCTTAAAGTGGGGGGAGGGTCTGTTACCAAGGGAGAGGAGGAGAACACCGCCAGCAGTGCCCCCGCAGCAGCTGCACACGAGTGCCGGCTGTGCACCCCCTCCTGGCACCTGGAAACCTCGCCGCCGCCCAGCATGCCGCCCGGACCACACAGATATGCAGGGTGGGCTGTGACTCGAGATGGCGGGGTGCCCCTCCCTCTGGGAGGCAGCTGAAGGGGGGATTGGATTTCCTAGGTAGATGGGGGAGGGGGGCCTCCAGGAAAGGCGTGATGTCCCCTCAGAGGCCTGGTGCACCTCTGCCCCAGGGACAGCGCCCGGACTCTGGACCTGCCCCCACTCAGGCAGCAAGGCGTCCTGACCCCCAGCCCAGTCCCCTCAAATCAGCATAGAGCCCCTCCCCCCACCCAGGGTGCGGGCAGCTTCCGGGGTCTGTGATGGCGCTCACAGAGGCAGGGGCGGCGTGCTGGGGGGGCCCCCCCGCAGTGGCACCTAGGGCCCCAGGCGTCCCAAGGACAAAGCCTCAGGCCCAGACCACACTGGGTTAGGAACCCAGAAGACCCCCGCCTGGAGGGCCTGTGCATGTGTGCCCACACATCGGTGTGCATGGGCACAGGCGTGTACTCACACGCTGTGACTGGTAAAGCCCAGCTTCCGGCTGGTGGTCTGCGTGGACCTGAGACTCTGCATTCTGATCAGCTCCCACGGTCTGTGTGGCTTCTACACACACACACACACACACACACACACACACACACACACTGCACCTAGGAAAGGTCTCCCCTTGGAGGGAAGACCTAAGCATTTACAGCCCTCAGCTGTAAGCGCAGGTGACCTGACTCAGGTGTGTGTAGGTAATGAGTAACCTATGACCCGAGGGCAGCCTTAGTCCTAAGCCTGTGAGAAGCAGGAATTCGACAGGGGACAGAGGCCAGGGACAGAGCTGGGAGCCCCCCGCCCCAGTGGCCTCGCTGACCTGCCTCCCTTCCCCTCTCCTGGCCCAGGCACAACGACCTGCCCTGGGTGATGCTCAAAAGGTTCCACAATCAGCTTGGGAATGAGGAGGCTGACCTGAGCCACCTGGCCGACACCCACACCAACATCCCCAAGCTGAAGGCGGGCCTTGTGGGGGGCCAGGTACGGCTGGGCTGGCCCCGCACTCCCTTAGGTTGGGGATCCACCTCGTCCCTCCCTGGGGTCCTGGCTACGATGCAGCCCCTCTCTGGTGGCAGCACACCTGACCTCCTTGGGGCTTCGGAGCTTGGGAGGGAGCTCTGACGGCCATGCAGGCTGCAGAGACTGCTTCCAGAACTGGAGGAGCCAGCCCGACATTCCTATGCTTATGGAGGGAGGGGCCTTGGGGCCTCGGGTCCTAGCTCCCCCCCCGCCCCCCAGTTCTGGTCCGCGTACGTGCCCTGCGACACCCAGAACAAGGACGCCGTGAGGCGAACGCTGGAGCAGATGGATGTCATCCACCGCATGTGCCAGAAGTACCCTGAGACTTTTGTGTGCGTCACCAACAGCAAAGGTGAGTGCCCACCCAGCCAGCTGCCCCGGCCCTCACCTCGCCCCGAGTGGAGGGGGCGCATCTGCTGTCCAGACACCCACGGCCCCGTGCGGCTCTGCTCCCAGGCATCCGACAGGCCTTCCAGGACGGGAAGGTGGCCAGTCTGATTGGCGTGGAAGGCGGCCACTCCATCGACAGCAGCCTGGGCGTCCTGCGGGCGTTGTACCACCTGGGGATGCGGTACCTGACCCTCACACACAGCTGCAACACGCCCTGGTGAGCGGTCCCCGGGGCCTGGCTGGGGAGAGGCTGCAGTTGGGCTTGGATGCAGCCCTGCTGCTCTGGGTCCTGACGGGGGTGGGGCGGGGGTGGGGTGGGGATGACAACTCTCCTCCCTCCCAGGGCCGACAACTGGCTGGTGGACAAGGGGGATGACAAGGCCCAGAGCCAAGGCCTGTCGCCCTTTGGGGAGGTGAGTGACAGATGCGAGAACCAGTCACCCTCAGAAAAGACGTGACCTGGAGACTGGTGTCCCCCACCTGCTGGGGCCTCCATTTCCTCACTCATGAAGGGAAGTTGGCTGGGGTCGTCTGAGGGCGGGCATCCAGCTGGAACCTGCTGGTCATTCGAGTGACCCCGACCTTCTAGCCATGGGGCCCCTGCCCAAAAGCACCCCCTGCCTAGACCTCTCAGGGGGCAGGAGTGAACCCCACGAGGCTGCACCCGCACGAGAGTGCACCGCCCCCATGGCCGGGGCAGGCTCTCCCAGCCCCCTGAGGCACGTGTGCCCACAGAGCGTGGTGCGGGAGCTGAACCGGCTGGGCGTGCTCATCGACCTGGCGCACACGTCCGTAGCCACCATGAAGGCTGCTCTGAACCTGTCTGTGGCCCCGGTCATCTTCAGCCACTCCTCCGCCTTCCAGCTGTGCCAGCACCGGCGGAACGTGCCGGACGATGTGCTGCAGCTGGTGGTGAGGCGCCTCTAGGCCCGGGCGGGCCCCGGGCTCCGGGTGGGGGCCACGCGGGCTGCCCCACGCCCACAGCTCCCCTCTGTCCTGAGCAGAGGAAGAACGGCGGCCTGGTGATGGTGAACTTCTACAATGACTACGTCGCCTGCCAACAGCAGGCCAACCTGTCCCAAGTAGCAGGTAGGTGGGTGTGAGCCGCCGCAGCTGAGCGGGAAGGCACCTCTGGCAGGACCCACACATGCAGCCTCCCTTGCAGACCACCTGGACCACATCAAGAAGGTGGCAGGGGCCGGAGCGGTGGGCTTTGGTGGGGACTTCGACGGTGTCTCGAGGTAAGGGCGGAGACTGTGCCTGGTATGGTGACCCCCAGCTCCCCGTCATGAGGGGCTAGAGGGGTAAGTGTCCCAGCAGGCCTCCTCTGGAGGACACCCCCTCAGGCCCCCAGTGCCTCAGGGTGGGGAGGCAGATGGGTCCCCAGACCCCTGACCCCCGGGCGGAGGAGCCAGGTCCTCTCCGTGCTCCTCTCAGGCTCCCCACGGGGCTGGAGGACGTGTCCAAGTACCCAGACCTGATCGCTGAGCTGCTCAGGAGGCAATGGACAGAGGCGGAGGTCAGGGGTGCCCTGGCCGACAACCTGCTGAGGGTGTTTGAGGCGGTGGAGCAGGTGAGGAGGGCTCCCGCTCACCCAGCCCCTAGCCGGGCAGGCGGGCAGGAGGCCCGACCGTGTGTGTGTCCGCAGGCGAGCAACCACAGCAGCCCCCCCTCGGAGGAGCTCATCCCGAGGGAGGAGCTCGAGGACTCCTGCAGGACCTACTATGGCTACTCGGAGGCCCCCAGTCTCCACCGCCAGCCGGGGGCCCTGCTGGCCTCCCTTGCCACTGCCCTCCTCAGCCTGAGACTTCTGTGACACCCCGGGGCCCGCATGCCCTGGGCTCTGGGAGCACCCCAGGCTCCAGGAACACAGCTCCCCGCACATGACTGGCCTGTCCTGAGCAGGCACCTGGGCACACCTGGGCAGCACGCTGCGGGGGCGGGCACTCGGGACAAAGGCCCACAGAGGACCCTCAATAAAGGCACCCACCTTGTTGAGTCCTGAGGCTGTGTGTCACCCTGGAGGGGCCCCCTGCAGATCCCAGGACACATCTGGTGACCCGGCCCCTGGCTGGACGTCCAGGCCCCGGAGGGCCCTGGTCTCGGAAGGACTCGGGGTCTGAAGGGGGATTCGCACATCACTGCTGGGGGAGGGGTCTTTAAAAACACAGCTCCAGCGCTCCCCCCATACTCGTACAGACACGCATGCCCACACACTCATGCCCTCCCCGTTATGCCTGCACATGTGCACGCACACCTGCATGTGTACATGCACACCTACACACCTGCACATGTATGCACCACTGCACACACACAGGCACACTACATGTGCGCCGACCACCCCCTGGGCTCAGCCTCTGTTGACAGACCGGAAGTGAGGGTGGGCAGCAGGCCTCGGGACCACTCTGCAGTGTCTGCTCACCACAGGGAATACTGTCCTAACACAGTCCTGCTGGACCCTGCTGGGCAAAGCTCATGGGGGGGAGCAGCGCCCCCTGCTGGGCATCCCGTGCATGTGTCCTGAGATGAACAGCCCCGAAGGCTACAGACCCAGCGTGGGAGCCCAACACACCTGGGTCCTCTCCAGGCCTGAGACGGCCCCTGTGCACAGGCTGATGCCGGGCGTGGCCCCATGCAGCCCCTCTGTGAGGCAGTGTGAACCCCAGTCCATGGGCACAGGCCCCGCCAACCCTGGCTGGCTGGGACCTTCTCCAGAAGGTGCCTTAATGGGTGTCTGCTGGTCACTGAGATCAGATTCATGTTTAAGGGAAAACAGCCAGGGCCTCTGCAGAGCTGGTGCCCCCGCCAACCTTCCCACGTGCCAAGGGTCCCCCGGGGCTCATGTTCCCCTGAGGAGGGTATCAATGCTTGACCTGAATAGTCACACCACATTCAACTGCACCAGAGAGAGGCTGGACCTCAGAACCCCCAGGGCCACTGAACGGTCACTCGTCAGCAGGGACACACCCACCAGCCCTCCCAAGGAGGGGCAGCGCCCCACGACCACTGGAGTCCTGGCCACCCCCTACCCAGGGGCCGCCCCAGTGCAGCCACCACCCCACAGCACAGAGCCCTCAGGGTGCGGGCACGTCCCAACAGTGTCTGCACCTCGGTCACTCGGGGACGTGCTACCTAGCACTCCGGCCGGGTGCATGGCAGCCCCAGGGCCCTCAGGGTGGGGGCAGCAGCGGTGGAGGGTCACCCATAATGGGATACAAGGGACTCTCACAGACAGCTGACCACCTCCTCGCCGAGGGCACGGTGACAAGGAGCGTCACCGATGTGCCGGGGGCCACGGCCAGGACTCTGCCCACACTGTCCTCTGCCCGGTCAGGCTCGGGCTGGCGCGGTCGTGCTGACACCCTGTGCCGGGACGCCGAGCAGGGACTGCACGCGTGGCAGCTGGGTGTGGAGGACGGGGAGGGCCGGCCTGAGACCCGGCAGAGCGAACTCGCTGGGTCTCCAGCACACGCAGGGCGCGGGGGCGGCTTCTGGCCCGGCGGGAGAATCCCACGACACCCGCGGTCCGTGTCGGAACAAGGCACGGCAGCGGCAGGCAGGGCAGCGGCCCCCAGGGACAGAGCCACACACAGGAAGCCGGCCAGAGGACGACGGGCATCGGGGCGTGACGCCCGAGCGTCCGCAGTCATCCAAGTCCTCCCACCAGGTGCTCAGCGGGGGCCGAGGCTGGCCGACACCACCCGTCCCGGCTGGGCAGCGCCACGGCGGTCAGTCCTGCGGCAGGACTCCCTGCTCCGCCTATCACGTGCACCCGACCAGGAGTTGAATGTGGGGGACACTGCTCCGCCCAAGCAGAAGCAGAAAATTATTTAAAGGTAAAAACCCCAGCATCTGCCTGTCCAGGCAGCGCCTGAGAGCCTGCAGCCCCGGGCCCGGCTGCCATCCCCCAGGTGTCCCCTCAGTGCCCGTGTGGGGCTGGGAGGCCACAGAGTCCCAGCCACGGCTCCCCCACCCCAAGGCCACAGAAGCAAACCTGGAGCCACTTCTCAGCAATCGCCTTGTTTACTTGCAGCAGTGTTTTAGGAACAGGGCGCAGACGCCCTCGGCCCTCACGTGAGCCACAGCCCCTCCCCCCCCGGGTCCAGGACTCCCAGGACCTTCTCCGACACCCCAGCACGCGGGTGCACCGAGGAGCCATGGCCAGGGAGTGAGGCGAGGTCCCTGTGTCAGGAGAAAAGCCAGACAGAGCCCCCGCCCTCGCTCGAGTCTCGCTCCATGGCCCACCACGTCTGCCCCCATGCCACCCACTATGCAGGCCACCCACGGGCTCCCAGCCCAGGAGGAAACAAATGCGTAAGTCCAGACGTAGTTCTCCAGTGTGTCTGTTCACAAGAGCCCCCAGTGCGAGGACGGACCGGACAGCCAGCCCTCGGGAAGGGCAGGCCGAGCAGTGCCGCCCCCAGCAGCTCATGCCAAGGAGGGCGCAGGCCCCATGCTCCCAATCTCCTGCCCACTCCTTCTATTTTGGCAAAAAAAAAGAGAAACCCCCAAAACTAAAAGAAAACCTCAAAACAAATCCAAACAGCTTCGAGAAAAGGAAGTAAACATCAGGAACGTGAAGGACAGAGGGTGCCGCCCCGGCAGGCCATCAGGACGCGTGTGCTGCTCTGTCCTGCACGCGTGGTGGCCACAGCCGACCGGGCTCTCTGGGCTCCCGACAGCCACTCTGGCTTCCGAGGTCAAAGGTGTGAGCACAGGCAGGAGGGGCTGTCGGGTGGGGGAGGCACTGCAGTCCGCTGCCAGGAGCTGTGACCACACATGGCTGCTCCCAGGTCAGGGGGGGGCCTGGGCCGCAGGGGTCAGCGCACGCCCCGGGGCCTGCCAGAGGCAGCAGAGGGGGTGGGAACAGCCCCCGGGGTGAGCACGCCTGCACCTGGGGCCCGGCGCTGAGGGTTCGGCCAGCGGGCAGGAGCACTGGCCCAGGCAGGAGAGGGTGGGCCCCCACCTCCGGGACTTCTGCAAAGGCAGCCTGGGGTGTGTTTGCTGGGTGGCCCCTGAGGGCACCCTCCACATGTCCTGGGGCTTGGGCCCTGTCTGTCCAAGGGTGGGTAGGGGAGCCCCTGTCCGCTGCTGGGAGGGCTCCAGGTACCGCCCGGCAACAGGGGACCCTGCACCCCACTGGCGGACAGCCAGCGGCACAGGTGCTGTCACACGACATCCTCGCAGAGTCGGGCACAGGAGGGAGCCTGCCGAACCACCAACTGCTTGGCCAGGAGTCACAGAAATCACCCACGAAGTCAGAAGTGTGTGCAAACTCACCCACCACCAGCCTCAGAGGACAAGAGGTCCGAGGCTGGGCAGGCGAGAGACGCTGAGAGCGGGGAGGACCGGCGCCGCCGCAGGGGCAGCCCCGAGGCGGAGGCAGGACGTGGGGACACTGCCCAGGCAGCGCCCTGCGGGCTCCTAGTTCCTCAGGGCGGCCAACCTGGAAAACAACAGCAGAGCCCTGTGGGGAAGGGCAGGGTCCGGGAGCACCCACAGGCAGCCAAGGCCCCTCGTCACGGCTCCATGGGAGCGGTGCTCAGACGGCCTGGGTGCAGCAGGGCCTTCACGCAAACTCAGGAGCCTGGGCAGGGAGCCACCTCCCCTCACTCACAGCCTCGGGCCCGGGCCCCACCCACCTGCGTGACAGCTGGTCCTCCTGGCTGCGCACGGAGCTCTCGCCCACGGCCGAGGCGCCCTCGGGCAGCTGACTGAGTTGGTCCAGGACCTCCAGGCCATTCTCCTCTGCGATCTGCACGATGAGGCTGTCCACCTGCTCCTGCGGCGTGGTCAGCGTGGTGGCCGAGCTCATGGAGTCCTCCATCACCTAGGGTCAGGTTCTGGGCGGTCAGGCGCAAGCCAAGGAGCCCCCACGGAGGCTTCAGTAGGCCCACCGGTCCCCGTCTGCTCCCCCGCTCCAGCCCCTCTCTCGGCTCTCTCTGCAGCCTGTGCCTGGCTCTCTCCAGCCTCTGGGGGCCGAGCACAGCTGCCTGTCGTGCAGGGAGCGTTCCCAGCCACCCCTGACCCCTCAGAGGCTCAGCACAGAGGACACTCGCTGGCACCAGGGAGGGGACAATGCAGGGCAGCTGCCTGCGCTGCCACCGACACGCTGCCCGCTTGCTAGCACATGGCTGACCTACCGAGGTGTGCACGTCCAGGTTCTGCACCTGCTGCTCGAACCTGTCCATCACCGCGGACACCTTCTGCAAGTCCATGCTGCTGAGGGCTCGGTCCAGGGCTTTGGTCACCTGCGCCATGTTCTTGGTCACCTGGCACAGGAGGGAGGAGGCAATGGGACTGCAGGAAGGGACGTCTCCACCGGGGACAGGCCCTCTGAGCCGCCAATCAAACAGTGGACACGAGGAGACCGGAGTCCCAGACGCCGCGGCTCCCGGGCAGCGCCTCCCAGCCCGCCCCCGGGGCCCGCCTGGGCCGGGCACTCACCCCCTTCATGGTCACAGCCGTCTGCACCTTGGAGGCCACGGCGTCCACGCGAGACGCCATGCGCAGCCAGTTCACACCCTCGTTCTTCTTGCGGATGGCGTTCTCCGCGTACACGCGGGCACACTCCACGTTCTTCTGCTGCAGGGCCTGAAATTCGGGGTGGCGCCAGCCTGGCTCAGGGGCCGGGCCTTTCCTGGGGGTGTCTGCTGGTGTGCTCCCTTCACAGCCCTTCACGGGGCCGAGAGTGTCACGAACACACACACGCCCAGGCCCCATGCCCGCTCGGGAGTCGGGGGCCCCGGGCAGGGCCTCCAGACCGGCCGCAGTGGGGCCCCAGCGGGGAAGCCCGGATGCAGGGCCACGCGCCCCTGCCCCTCCACGCCCCCAGCGACTCGGTCTCCCCAGCTTCCTCCCAGGCCCCTCATGCCACCACCCGAGTGGGCGCCACCGACTGGAGGGGCTCAGGCCCCCAGCGGGCTCTCTGGCCGCCGTCCCGCCCAGGAGCCATCGTTCGGGCCAGAAGTCACCAGGTCCCACAGATGCCCCCTCTTCCCGAGAGCACGGACCCCTCCAGCCTCTTGTCCTGCTCTCCCTGACACGGGGCCCCAGGAGCCTCCCACCCTGCCCCCAACCCACGGAGGGGTCGCCCCCCTCAGCCTGAGACACAGCTTCACCAGGAGAAGGCTGAGGGGCTGGGGTCAGGGAGGACCTCCAGAAGCCCACTGCCTGCACCACCTGTGGGAAGGTCCCGTTCAGCACACCAGGAATTAACAGAGAGCACGGACCTCCAGAGAAAAAGCACAGACAACATCTGATCTCTTTGCTCTGGACACCCTGCGGGCTGGCAACACAGAGCCACTGCAGGTCTTGGGCAGGTCTGTCCTTCCCGGGTGGAAGTGACACCCTCCATAAAGACACCAGGGGCCCTGGCTGGCGCGGCTCAGTGGGCTGCCTGTCGGCCCGTGAACCAAAAGGTCGCAGGATCGATTCCCACTCAGGGCACGTGCCTGGACTGTGTTGCAGGTTCGGTCCCGGCTGGGGGCACGTACGAGAGGCAGCCAAGAGGCGTCCCTCTCCCACACGGACGTTTCTCCCCCACCTCGTCCCCTCTCCCTAAGGTCACCCACTAGGCTGGAGAAGTCACGCAGACACCAGGAGCAAGGGCAGTGGCGGCGGCCGTCTCACCTTCTTCACCTTGGCCTGCTCGGCCTTCGAGTCCTTCTCTGCCTTCTTGGCCAGCTTCTCCAGCTGCTTCGCTGTGAACTGAGCAGAGGCGGGCGCCGGGTCAAACCGGTACCGCCGCTCCCAGCCTGCCGGGCTCCCAGGACGCAGGGCCTCTCTAAGGTCGCCTGCCAGCCCCTCCCTCGGCAGCAGGCTCCTGCCGCGGGCACTCCACCCTCGGCGTCTGACACTGCGGCCCCTCTTCCCTTCCTCAAACCCGTCCAGGCCACGCTGCCCGGCACAGCGGCCACAGGGGACTCTGCTGGCAGGCGGCGGGCGCTGCAGAGCTGTCGCCGTGCAGGGCGGGGGGACGCCTCCTCTCCTGGCTCTGCCTGTGTCCCAGACCCATGTCCTCGCTTCTCCGATGGACTGGGCTACCCACCCACACGGGGCCCTTCAGGGGGCACCCCGCCCACCCAGAGCGACAGCCGAGGTCTCGCCCTGCTCCTGCACACCCACCCCTGCCCCAGCATGCTCCGCACCCCCCATCCGCCCCGCCCCCTTGCCACCTGCAGGCTCTCACAGTCTGCCTGCCTCTGAGCCCCGTCCCTCCGCATCCTCCCGCTGGCCCCCAAACCACCACAGCCCACCCCTGGCCTTGCTCCTCCTTCACAGAGTCCTCGCCCTCCCACCGCCTCCGAACAAAGGCTGCCCCGGGGCCAGGTGTCCTGGGCCCTCCTGCCACTGGCAGCAGCAGGGGCCCTGGGGCACGCCCTCGCACACCCCGGCCACCTCCTGCCTCCACACTGCCCACACCTTCTTCCTCCTGGGGGGCCCCACCCAGCCCTGGTCGGAGTGGCCCCAGCAGCCCCCCAGCAGACCTCTCCTGACCAGGAAGCTGGCAGGGGAGCCGGGAGGAAGGCCCAAGCCCCCAGGGCCCACAGCCCCGAACACCGACCGGTCAGTCATGTCCCATTGGCCCACAACACCCGCCCTCCTGCGAGGGCCCCTGGCCACCCCACAGCCCTGGGCCCCCATGCCATTGGCACTTGGGACTGTCTGTCACAGGGAAAGGGTCTCCAGTCTGTCCACCTCCCACTCCTGGGCTCTATAAGGAAAAAAACAGGTTTTCCTGCTCTGGGCGCCTGGCCCTGACCCCCCTAAGATGGCGTCTACCCCAAAAGTGCTCACAAGCACAGCGCCTGCGCCTCCCCCACCCCCACCCTCCGGTGCAGGGCAGAGCCAGGGTGCCCAGTGCATCCCTGCTGCCCAGTGGTTCAGTGTCCACCAGCGACGCTCCCCGTGTGGGCACTCAAGGGAGCCGGGGCAGAAGCTACCCTGGAGCTGCCAGAGCCTTGACCACCGCCCAGGCAGGGGCCCCACTCCGATGCCCACAGGGCCCTCCGCTGGGCCTGCACAGGACCCCAGGGCGCCTTCAGAGACGACACGGCCGCTCGGCCAGTCAGCCCGAGACCAGGAGAGAGTCGCCGTGCTACTGAGCAGCTCAGTGGTCCCCTTCATTACCGCTCGAGCCAAACACTGTGCAGCGGTCGCCTGGCAGATGACCTCTGAGTGTCCGCGCTTATTCGCCAGCAGGACGGGGTGGGGGCACGTGGCCACCCAGTACGTACCTTCAACTGGAACAGCGTGTCTGCAAAGAGAGGGGAGGAGTTGAGAGTTTTAAGAGACACGGGAAACGATACTTCTAACAAGCACATGAGACCTGAGGCCCTCGCACCACAAGGAGTGGGAAGAGAGCACAGGCGTGGATGGTGCTGATGGACAGCCACACCGCTCTGCCGACTCGCTGGCCACGGGCCCTGGGCCACGCAGGGCCCTGAACCTCTGTGCCCTCACCAGCAACACCCAGATGGCACCAGCTGACCTCCAGGGTCAGCGTGCGGATGGGAGGACACAGAAGCAGCGGGTGGCCCACAGAGAAAACTTAAGGTGGTACTACGGTGACTCAGGCACCTTTGCAAAGCTCCCTCAGAATCCTTACCCCACTTGACAATGCATTTCTTACACACTTCTTCTCCCCCAAAGTACATGGGTGGAAACAGCAGCACGATGGCCCTGGCGCCATCAAAGGGCAGAGCCATCCAGCCAGGCTGAGCCCCTTGGTACTGGACTTGCTGCTCGCTCACCAAAACCCAAGAGCCATGGAGATTCGAGTGCAGCTGAACACTTTCTCACCTGGCCCCACTCCTAGGAGGGCTCGCCACCCTGGCTCAGGGGGGCGGCTCGAAGCCCTGTCCCCAGCCTGGGGTGCTGAGCGCTATCCGCGGAGCCCAGGGTGGTGGCCCTCAGGGCGGGCCTGGTCAAGGCCTTGGGCGCAGACTCTAGAACCCACAGCGCGCCTGACACAGGCGCCAGGCGGCCGAAGAGCCAAACGCTGCTACGGCAAAGTGTCGCCCCAAAGCGACGCGGGCAGTCAAGGCGCCCTGGAGAGCTGGGTGATCTGTGGCGCAAACACCAACATCGGTGTGTGTTGGGGGCTGGAGGGATGCCTTCCGAGGCCATTTGTACAAATTTCCTTCACGACGCTGACACGGCTGCGTGGCTTTTCGCGTGTCGCAAAGCGATTTTTCAAAACCTCCCTATCGCGCCAGCAAACGCGGGCAGCCCCACCCCCCACTCCCCCCACCCTCTGTCTCCCTAGTGCCGGAGGGCAGGTCCCACCCCGGGGACTCTCGAGAGGCGGGCCCGGCGGGCAGGGTGCTGCCGGCCTCAGCTTGGCTATTTCTCTTCGCAGTTCCCTCTGATCTGACACCCCGGGGCCCCAAATGGCGGTATCCGTCGACGGCACCGGCGTTGGGGGGTTGGAGGGGCAGCCGACGGCTGAGGGGGACCGGGTATCGGCGAACTGGGGGCCGGGGATCGGAAGCCGCAGGTCGAGGCCCGGGGCGCCCGCCCGCGCCTCCAAGGGCGGCGGCTCTCACCGTCCATGGCCAGTCCGGCAGCGGGAGCCCTCGCAGAGGCGGTGGGACTGGATCTGCCCGGGGGGCGTCGAATAGCCCAGCCGACCAGCTCTGCCGGGTGGGAACTTCCGGGTCGCTCCCCACTTCCGGCGCCCGGCCCCTCTCGCGAGAGGACCGCGGCCGATCCCGCCCGCGGGTTGCCGTGGTGACCCCGTGGCGCCGCCAGGTGGCGGTGTCTGTGAGTCACGCCCCCCAGGTGGGAGTGCCGGGCTGTGCCAGCGGGGCGGCGGGCTCACCTATGGGACTGGGCAGAAGCAAACACAAACGCGGGAAAGGTAAAGGGCCGCCGGCCCGCGGTCGCCCTGGAGCGGCCGGGACCCGCGAGGGCTTGGGGTGCCGGGCGCCCTTTCTTCAAGACCACGCCTCGGGAGCCCTTTCTTACATGGAAACGTCCAGTTTGGGCAGATGGAGTGACCCAAGTCTTTCAAGCTGCCTCTTTCCTTCTGAACCAAAGCAGGCAACTGAGGAATAGTGGATCCATTGCCCTAGATTCAGTAAGTCATAGTTCGAATTAATTATCCGTATATTCCAGGTGAGAAGCAAAACAAGGAGTACACCTATTCAGGCCCAAGGCCTAAGGAAAGGTCGATGAACAGGCAGTCCCAGGACTCTGAGAAGCCACTAGACACTGCGCCTGCAGAGGGTCACTCTCAGAGGAAGGCGGCAGCCAAGCAGCACTGCCTGTCACCCAAAGTCAAAGGTAGGACCTACCCAGAGCGCTGCAGCTTCAGGGTGTTTGGGAATGGAGTCAACAGGAGCCGAAGTGAGGGATCCTGGCCACAGGGGTGACGGTGGAAGGGTGTAGGACCTTTCCATGGGAGGGGGAGAGCCAGAACTCTAGGTGGAAACACAGGTTTGGTAAAGGTTGAGGGAAGTTGCCAAGTGACACATGCACAGCAGAGAGGCAAGGGGGGTTAGGGCAGACACTGAGCATGCCACTGTTGTCCCAGAGGATGGACGTGCTGTGTGAGGTGGGACGCAGAGGGAGCAGACCTTGGTGGGACAAAGGGCTGCCACGGTTTGGCAAATTTATTCACGTCGTCACAGCCTAGGGTGGCCAGACCTTTCCATGTGGGTGGGGGATGAGGCCACAGAAGCAGCCAGAGGATGAACTCTATCAGTTCCATCTGTGGGGTGTGGAAATTAGAAGAGGGGACATGTGATGGAGTTCATGCCCTGGAAAAATCTGTCTCCAGAATGAAGGGGCAGAGAAGAGGCCCGTCACATGTCACAGGCCCACTGCTGCTACTGGGGAGGAGCTGCTGAGGGAGTAGCAGCCGGAATCACAAAGGATCCAGTAGGCGGACCAGTGGGACCTGCTGTAGGATGCGATGTGGGGACATGGAGCCAGAAGGGTGGTGGCAGGGACCATGAGGTTGAGTCATTGCTGGGCCAGGAGGACTGGTGTCAGACTGGAGGGGAGAGAGGCTCAGACCGAAGCATCTGTGGGTCACGAAGGGCTGCAAGCAGTTTGAAATGAGGGTGTGGGGCTGGGGAGTGAGGCCTGGACTTCAAATCCCAGCACAGGGTGGGAGATCACAGGAGGGGCCCGAGGCTGCGGGAGGAGGTTTGGAGAACGCTCCCCGTCTGTCAAGTCAGGCTTCTGGCTGCAAGTCGCAAAAGCCACCCAGAGGCCTATCGGATGTGCCTTCGCTGCTGAGGGGTTTGAGGTTTCCCGAGGAAAGGAAGGGTCGGACGCAGGCACTCCTGGCAGCTGACCGCCTGCGCCACTGCACTGCCACTCCTGGGACCCGCGGTCCCCGGACACTGGGCGGGGACCAGGTGTGGAGCACAGACAGGACGACAGGACCGTGTCTAGTTCACAAGAAGCATCTCCTTGCTTCCTGTCGGTGAGAAGAACCTCTCCCGGCAGGCCTCACCTGCCTAACACCTCCGGAACGGGCTCACCTGCAAACTCCAAAGGAAGGTGTGGGCAGGGGGCTGCCTGTTGGAAAGGCGCCAACAGCATCCCTCACACCATCATTTCAGAGGGGTGCAGAGAAGACAGATGTGGGGGGAAGGTCAGAGGGTAAGAGTGAGGCTGGGGTTTCAAGAGAGGTGAAGAGCGTGGTTTCTCCTTGTGACAGAGCATCTCAGCAGCCGCAGGGACAAGCCGCTGGACACGTGGCACCACGAGGCAGTCTCCAAAGCCTGACACTGAGTGAAAGGAGCCCCATGAGCCCCATGTAAAGACCACATATGTTATTCTCCATTTATGTGAAATGTCCAGATAAGGCACATGTATGGAGAGGGAAGCCCAGGCTAAGGGTAAGAATGGGGACTGGCCGCAAATAGAAACAAGGTCTTCAAACTGGATAGACAGTTGCCCACCTGTGAAAGTTCACTGAAACCCACTGAACCGTGCGCCTGATGGAACCCAGCTGTGCGCACGTGCACCAGGGAACGTCTGCAAAGGGGGAGCCAGTCCCCAGGCAGCTGTACTCCACGTGCTATTTTAAATGGAACGTTCCTATCCTTTTACGTGGTTCTGATATACATATAAAATATTACATGAATCAATGTAAAAATTTTAACTCCCCAATTTAAATTATGCAGAACACGATGAAAGTTTTTGGCTTTTTAAAAAATTTTATTTTAATTACTGATCAAGTACAGTTTTCTATGTTTTACTCCCAGTTTTTGACTTAATGATAAAAAGGAAGGGCACTCTCAGCGCCTAGGGCAGGCCGTGGTCATTCGGCAGTGGTTAGAAAGCTCAAAGATCGGTCAGCGTCGAGGTGCAAGGGCTCTGGACCTGATGCCCACATCTCCCTCTGCCACCAGCCTTGGGCAGGCAACATAAACTTTCCGTGCCTCAGTTCCCTCCTCTGTACAACTTCAGAAGCTTGTCGTGGATCACTGTTCACTGTCATCACTCTGGCTCACAACTGGCCACCTCTGGTCCCATAGGGGGTTAGGTGGGGAGCAAAGCGCACCGCAAAACCATTTTGCTGCAGATGCGCAGTGAGGGGAGTCTGCTGACTGTCGCCCTGCACAGACGTGCAGAGGCCTGAAGGGGCGTGCCGCAAGCTGGAAGCCCCTGGGGTGGCGGCAGCGAAAGGCCTCCCACTGTTGTGTGTTGTAACATTCAACATAGTGAACTTCACAAGTTCTACACATTCCTTGTGACCTTAACAATTTAAATGTGACCAACGCCAGAAATGTCCGTTGCTGCAGCACTCTGACCAGGTTCCACACTGAGAGCTTTTGCCAGATTCGGGCTCCTCTGGAAACTGCGCCTGGGACTTCACCTCTGGTGCACGCCTGCCTTTCTGAGGCCTGTCACCTGGGCCTTGTGCAGCGCCGTGTCACCGAGGTGGGTGGCAGAAGTCTCCTGCTTTCGTCCGAGAAAGAGGGTGTTCAGTTTAAGCTTCGGGATGTCGTGTGCTATTTTGACAGCCTTCAACCTTCCTGTTTCTTTTTCCTGAATCCACATTTCCCTGTGCTGTGGCCCTAAGCCAGACACCGTCTGCTTTCCCAGGCTTACTAAGTACTGGGTGTTTCCTTCCTTCTAGAGAAAACTGAGGCAAAGGTCAGGCTGGGCGAGAAGAGAGCTATCCTTCCACAGATCGTCATCAGCAGAGCCTCAAGCAAGACTGTCATCAGCTACAACTCTGGCTCCAGCAGGAACGAGGAACAGAAGACCATTCGGGAGCCGGTGGAATGGGGCCCCTACGCCAGGCACAGGAACCCCAGCACCATCGATGCCTACACCTCACAAACCAAACAATAAACGGCCACCAGGGGTAGCTGTCCCCCGTTCACTGTGCTCTGAGTCTCAGCCAAGATGGCAGAAGGGCCACCCTGCCCGGCAGGAAGCTGCAGGGGCCCCTGCAGGAGACGAGGGTCCCCCGTGCTGGCAGCTTGGCTGAGGGCCAGAGTGACTCTGAAATAAGTGAAGGAGTCCGCCTCCTGCTGGCATGGCAGCCTGTGCAGAGGCGTGAGGAGAGCAGGAGGCATCTGCCCTGACTCCTGGGGGCCATTGGAGCCCTCACACATTCTGAGGGGTGTGCGGTGAGTCCTGGCAGTCGTGGGGAGTGAGGTGTCCCCACACTTGGAAAGAAGGTGGGTCTCTGAGCACTGAACTTCAAGGCCCAAAGGCTCCTAGCCCGGCTGTGACCTGGCCCAGGGTATTCAGAGTCCAGAATGAGAATGTGGAACAGGAGTTGGGGCCGATGTGCATGCGGAACTTTGGAAGCAGCCTTGTCACCACTGCCCCAGGAAGAGGAGAGTGGAGCTGACACTGCTCGTCTTTCTGGGTGTGAACAAGGGCACCCATCCAGGGGGCCCCCAAGCTGTGCCCCACAGCCAGCAGTGCTCAGGTGCAGCTGGAGAGAATGCCCCGCCCTGGCTGGGCTCACGTGCAGTCTGGTGACACTGTGTTAGCTCTTAGTTTGCAGAATGGAAGCAAACTGTACACACGGTTCCTATTTCTGCCTATGAGGATTATGTTCCATTAGTATTAAGTAGTGCAATTGACTTCCAATCAATTCGTTTCAGTATAACCTGAGAAACAAGAAGTCTCATATTGACATTGTTTACTAACACATCATCAGTATCTATATATTTCTTAAAAGATTTTATTTATTTCTAGAGAGAGGGAAAGAGAGAGAAAAAGAGAGAAACATCAGTGTGCAGTTGCCTCTCGCGCGCCCCCTACTGGGGAAATCTGGCCCACAACCCAGGCATGTGCCCTGACTGGAAGTCGAATTGGTGACTTTTCAGTTCACAGGCCAGAGCTCAATCCACTGAGCCACACCAGCCAGACAGTATCACTGAGTTTGTTCAATGTATTTACTTAGGCTTCTGCTACAGCTATGCATTCAGAGAAATCCAGCCCATACAAATGTGGGTCTGACCCCATAGGGTCCACAGGCCTTCCCTGCCCCACGAAGCTCCTAGCAGGCTGTACGCTTCTGTTATTGGACCTCTAGACTGCCCGCCCAGCCCTGCCCTGCCCAGAGCGTCTCAGTGTGAAAACTGTCCTGACCATGGTGCTGGTGTGCTCACCTCGGTAAGCAGCTTGTGAACAGGCGGGCTGAGGCTGCCAGAGGAAGGGCCAGGGGACCTAGCGGTGCAGATGGGCCCTCCCTGGGGTGAACTCAAGAGGGCAAGGACAGGCAGTTGCTGCGGGGCTTGGCTGTCACCTGGTGGGAAGTCAGGGAGGAGGGGCAACAGCTGACACACCTGTGGGACCGGAGAAGACTCCAGAGCTGAGTGCAATGGATCGCCAGCCAGAACGACACCCCCCACAGGGTATGGGTTCCGGTGTGGGTGTTAGGGGATAGAAACACCTGGATTTCATCCCATATTTTTATAAAACAGTCTCTGGAGGATTAAGGATATAGTCAGAAAGCTCTTCCCTTTTGCAGAACCAAATGTCATACAAATACTTATGTTTGGATTTTAATCAAAGTAAACAAAATGCTCCCTGTTAAAAAAAAAAAAAAAAAAAGGTCCAGATGGGCAGTTCCAGAACAGTCACGGGGCGGATGTACAACATGGAATATAGTCAATACTGCAATAACTATGGAGGGAGCCAGGTACGTATTGGGCATATCTGGGGATCACTTCCTAAATAACATATAAACATCTAACCACCGTGCTACACACTTGAAACTAGTATAGTATTAAAAAGTAAAAGACTTTATAAAGCTAGAATGATTTATTAACTTAAACCGAAACAACGGATTTTGACGCATTAACTTGATTAACTTCATAGTTAAGCAACGTCGGGACTTACATTCACATTAATTTACCACTGGCAGCACGGCCGCGCCCTACTCTCGGCGGGCCGCTCGGCCCGCGCAGCTCCCACGGCGTCCGCCTGCCCGCGGCCGCTACCCAAGCCCTGCCTCCGGGAGCCAGTTGCGCTCCCGCGCTCGAGCTCGGAAGCTCACCTCTCGCCGCCGAGGGTGGAGGCCCCGGGTCCCGCGATCCCTGCGGCCGCCCGTCCTCCTCCGGCGGCCGTCACTCAGCGCCCCTGCGGGGTCCAGTGTCCGGTTTAAGACTGAAGTCCAAGCGCGTCCAGGGAACTGAGTCCTCTGAGGTCTCCGGTTCCCTTGGTAACCATTGCAGATGCCGGAACGCCCCCGGAAGTAGGGACGCGCGTGCGCCGAGCAGCGGTCTGCTCCTGCGCACCCGGGAAGCGGGTATCGCGCTCAGCATGGGCGAGCCGGAGCCGGAGACGGAGCAGATCCGTCTGAAGTGTATCCGTAAGGAAGGCTTCTTCACGGTGCCTCCAGAACACAGGGTGCGATCTGGGGGTCGCTCGGGATGGACCCACTCTCGCCGGCGGCAGGGCGGGGCTGAAACGCTCCGGGCCCTCAGTGTCGCGCTATAGCGCCGAGGTTTCCGGCTTGGGCGGGAACGACAGTCCCAGAGTCCTTCGCGGCATGCGGGGAAGCCGGCGGCCACCCGCGGGGCCGGCCATCTCTGCAGCCGCGGGCCCTTTCGTTAAGAGCAGGCTCTGGGCTTCAGCGCCTCTTCGTATTTAGTGTTGCACCCGGGGCCCCTTTAAGTCGGAGGAGGGTTGACCCCTGGGAAGCCTTGGAGGCGTGGCCTCCCCCGGGCTGCGAAGAAATCGGCCCGATGCCGGCATCCTCCCAGCACCCGCTGGCCGGCCGCACCTCACTCAGAACTGCCCCGGGTGCCGGTCCCGTCCCTGACGTGGTGCCGGGGGCCCTGTGCTCGGAGGGCAGTTAGACACACCCCGACCAGGACAGGGCAACGTGCACAAAAGCAGGTGTTTCAGGACAAAAGTACCGGCATTTCAGAGAGAGAATGGTTTTCACTGGGGGCCAGGAAGAAATTGGGAAAGGGGTAGGATTTGAACACAGAAATGAGGAGGCCAGATTGAGCGAGTGGCAGGAGCAAAGTCACAGGGAAGAGAGTGAGGAAGGGAGTCAGGTAGGAACGGAAGGTGGAGATCATGGCCGGGTCCTCAGCCCAGGCCACCTGGTTCCCCAGGAAAGGAACGACCTGGAGGGCGAGGGCTGGTGCGAGAAGAGGGGTGCCGTCAGAATTGGAACCTTCCAGGTGTGCTGCTCAGACGTAGGCAAAGGGCTCACTTCGCACATCGTGAAGGTGTGTCAGCGTGCAAGGTGTATGCTGGTGCAGAGGGACCCAGAATCAAGTGGCAGAGTGCAGAGCTTCATTCCTCCCTCCCGGAACCTTCCAGAGACAGGCAGCTGTTTTCCACAGGGTGGGCCAAGCACCCAGGTTGTCCCTCGTTGGCCAGAATTTAGTCATACAGCCATACCAGCTACGAGGGAGGCTGGGGAACAGCCGCCAGCTGTGTGGCTGCCTGCCCCTGAGCTGAGCAGTGTTTCATAGCTGCAGGGAGGAAGCCCTGGCTGCCGCACATGGCCCTGCTTGGCAGAGCCACTCTGCTTGGCAGATGCTTCGTGAGGATCTCGAAGCTTTTTCCACCTGCAGAGCATCTTTTAGAGCAGTGTGCTCGGTGGACTTCTGTGGCGGTGGAATGTCCTGTTTTCTGCACCGTCTGTGTGGTCACCCTGAGCCAGGTGGGGCCGTTGAGCCCGTCGCATGTGGCTGGCAACGCAGCTGAGGAAGTGAGCTTTTCACTTGAACCACAGTCAGCTGCTGGCGAGTTAGGCAGCCTGTGCTGGACCAGGGAATTGGAAGGGAGCAGTTGGGCCGTCTGTGGTGTTATGTTCCAAGTGTCTGGCCCAGTGTCACCGTCCCTTTTTCCTCACCTGAAAAGCCCAAGTGTGTGTGGGCACCTTGCTGTCTGGTGACTGGGACGTAGGTAGTACCAACGAAGTGTGAAACATCACCTTTGGCCATCCATCAGCTGCCACCCCTTTGCACTGCCAGCACCTCTCTCTTTTAGCTGGGACGGTGCCGGAGCGTGAAGGAGTTTGAGAAGCTGAACCGCATCGGCGAAGGGACCTACGGCATCGTGTGTGAGTGGCCGAGATGGGAGGCCAGGGGCTCGGGAAAGTCCCGCAGTGGCAGCGCTGGGGCTGGAGGAGTCAGGGCAGCCACCGGCACAGGCGACTGTCTGTCTGAATGACTGCATACTGCAGATAGCTCCCTCACTGTGGCAGCCGGCACTGCAGCTGCTGCGACATGGAGGTGCGTCCCACTGCTAAGCGTTGTGAAGCCTCACAAACCAGCACAATGCTTCAGGGAGTCTTTGTGCAAAATGAGGGTTGTCTTTTCTGGGTAAAGTACCTGATTTGGTGTTAGGTCATAATCACAACAGATCACCCAGCAGTGGTCTGCACAGTGACTCTAAGAGGAATCCTAAATGGAGTGTCTCACAACCAGGCACCCTGTACCCAGCACAGACGGCCTGTGTCCGTTGAGGCCAGGGGTGTCCGCTTGCCCAGAGGGAGACTGAGTGGCACTGGGCACCCGGCTGTCCAGGGAGAGGAGGAAGGGAAGCCCTGGGTGTCAGGGAGGCCTCCGTGTGGCACGAGGGCATGTGGTTGGGGGTGGACTGGACTCCGTCACAGTTTAGTTTCTGCCCCAGATCGGGCCCGGGACACACAGACGGATGAGATCGTCGCCCTGAAGAAAGTGAGGATGGACAAGGAGAAGGATGGTGAGTAGGGTGGGGTGCTTGGCCCCTTCCGGTGCAGAGTGGAGGGGCAGAAAGGTGCAGGGTGCCTGAGCCCCTTTAGGACTGGGCCCTCAGCACTGAGAGCACCTGGCAGCCCCCAAGAGCGTCCGTGTGGTGGTTACGGGGGCCAGTCTCTGGGGCTCTGGCTCGTCGCCCCGCCCCCGCCCTGTAGGCTGCAGTCCCTGTCCTCTGTCTCCCTAAGCTTCTGCCTCAGCTCTCGGCCCACACGGGGCCTTCCCTGCCCAAGGCCTGGCAGGCAGCCCCTGTGTGCCCACCACCCCCGCCCCTCCCTGGCTGCCTGGGCGGCTGGGCCCTGCCCTGCTCACCACAGACCTGCCCTGCACAGTGGTCCGTGCCTAGCATTTGACAAAGGAAGTAAGGGTTCGAGGTGCTTGTTGGCATGGCCTTGAATCCCCCCGAGCTGGCAGCTGAGCCCCGACGGTGGTAGGGCAAGGTCAGTGCAGGCCGATGAGGGTGTGGCACGGGGCTCGCTGAGGGGCTGGGTGCAGGGGTTCTGTCGGTCAGGGCAGGCTCACTGAGGCGCGTCTGGTTGCAGGGGTCCCCATCAGTAGCCTTCGAGAGATCACGCTGCTCCTCCGCCTTCGCCACCCGAACATTGTGGAGCTGAAGGAGGTGGTGGTGGGAAACCACCTGGAGAGGTGAACAGTCTGCAAGGCCTCGCGGAGCCCACCACCCAGCCCCCCCCCCCCCGCCCCAGGGAGAAGGGTGAGGTGGCAGGTGTCTTCCCCTTTGTTCTGCCAGCATCTTCCTGGTGATGGGCTACTGTGAGCAGGACCTGGCCAGCCTTCTGGAGAATATGCCGACACCCTTCTCCGAGGCCCAGGTGCACAGGGTGGGGGGCACCCAGGGGTGGCCTTCACAGGCCCTTGTTCAGCACATTTGTGCCAAACGGGGCTCGTCCTGAGTGTCCGGCCCTCTGCACAGGTCAAGTGCATTGTGCTGCAGGTGCTCCGGGGCCTCCACTACCTACACCGGAACTTCATCATCCACAGGTGGGGCTCTGGGGCTCTGGGGACAGGCGGGGCCTCCGGCGTCGGCGCTGGTTCTTGACGTGGGGAAGTGTGGCCACCAGTACTGACCACTGGTTCCCGTGCATCACGGCCCGGGGTCCAGGACGGGAGCAGGAGCAGACAGCTCGGCGCGGTGGGGGCTGCTGGTGCTCGGCCCCCTCTTCGGGGAGCGGGTGGTGTGAATGCCTTCGAGGCCCCGAAAACCACCTCCTGGTCCTGTAGCCGACACCGGAGAGGCCGGACCTGGGGGTCGGGGGGCGGGACATTGGAGTCCAGAGCAGGGCTGTGCGGCTAGCGGTCCCTATGCTGGGCGGCTGTCCGTGCTGTCCTGGGGGGCCCGGGCCCAGGCTGGGCCCTGCACTTCCTCCGAAAGGTACAGAGTGCGAGGGTGGCCCTGCTGCCACTTGCCTGCGCTGCCCGCTCGTGTTTAAAAAGTCTCCGCGGGAGGGGCCGTGTGGGACAGCGCGCTGAGGGTCGCCGGGACGGCGACGAGCAGACTGCCCGCGGAGCCCACCCCTGGGGACTCTCACACCCCCTTTCTGCCACAGGGACCTGAAGGTTTCCAACTTGCTCATGACCGATAAGGGCTGCGTGAAGACAGGTGGGCGTGGGGGCTGGCTCTGAGGCAGTGTCTCGTGCAGGCCACCTGGGGGGGGGGGGCAGAACTGTCCTTCCATGCACCCTAAAGGCTCAGCGTGGCTCCCTCGCTGGGTGACACACCTCCCTCCCGTTTCTCGGCCTGTCACAGCGGATTTTGGCCTGGCCCGGGCCTATGGCATCCCCGTGAAGCCAATGACGCCCAAGGTGGTCACTCTGTGGTGAGTTCCTCGGGGCCAGCCTGCTGCTGGGGGGCAGTGGCTGAGGCGGGATCTGGGGCAGCTCCCCAGCAGCAGGGCGCCTGGCCTGGCTGAGCCGTCTTGGGCGTTGGAGGTGGTCCCCACCCTGCCTGAAGAGGGGGTAGGGAGAGGGGGCACTGGCGCCAGGCGCCTCCTGCCGTGTGTCCTGCAGCCCCAGCAATGGCACGGGAGGACCACGGGCCCTGCCGTGGGCCCGGAGCTGTCTGTGGTGCCCCCAGGAGCCTGCAGTGATGGTGGTCCCCACAGTGCTGGTCTCCTGGGCAGAGCTGCACGGGAGGGGCGAGGCTGGTGGGAGGGCCGCGCAGACCGCTGTGCCCCATGGAGACCCAGGAAGGGCCAGGCGCGAGGTGGGTGCTTCTGTTTGCAGGTACCGAGCCCCTGAGCTGCTGCTGGGATCCTGCACGCAGACCACCAGCATTGACATGTGGTGAGGCCGGGCAGGGGCAGGAGGGCAGGTCTTGTGGGGGCAGAGTGGGCTGGCGTCTGTGCCCCAGCTCCTGGGACCCCACGTCCCCGAAGAAAGCGAGGACACAGCACACGTGGGCCGTGGCACCGTGGTCCTCAGAACGGAGGCCCTGCCCTCGTGGTCATCAGGGGGGCCTGCAGGACCGCATGGTGCGGCCACCTCATTGTGACATCTGCTGGAGCTTGGCCTGTCCTCTGACCTCTCAGTGGGCCACGTGGGAGGGCGCTGGCAGGTGTGTGAGGGGGGTCCTGCTCCGCCCCACAGGGCCCTGGGCTGTGTCCTGGCCGAGCTGCTGGCCCACAAGCCCCTCCTCCCCGGCACGTCTGAGATCCACCAGGTGGACCTGATTGTGCAGCTGCTGGGGACGCCCAGTGAGAACATCTGGCCGGTGAGTGCCCAGCCCCCACCCCCGCCCGGCCGACCCGGCCCAGCCGAAGCTCCAGCCCCTGTGTCCTGCAGGGCTTCTCCGAGCTGCCGCTGGCCAGCCAGTACAGCCTGAGGAAGCAGCCCTACAACAACCTGAAGCACAAGTTCCCCTGGCTCTCGGAGGCTGGCCTGCGCCTGCTGAACCTGCTCTTCATGTACGACCCCAAGAAAAGGTGCCGGCCCTGCAGGGGCGGGGCGCCTTCCACCCAAGCCCCCCCAAAGAGGGTCTCTCAGAACAGAGGCTGAGCTGGCCCCTCCCCGACATGTGCCTGGGTCTGGTGGCCTCTGCACACTCAGGGCACAGCCCATCCCGAGGGTCTCCTCGGTGCCTGGGCCCCGGCCCTCCCTTCCCACCTGCCCTTCTGTTGTTGTGGGGAAACAGGAACCAGGGCCGCCCTGTCGGGCCAGCTGTGAGGGCAACAGGCCCGTACAGGGCCCAGGGCTGCACTGACTGCAGGCTGTCCTACAGGGCGACGGCCGGGGACTGCCTGGAGAGCTCCTACTTCAAGGAGAAGCCCCTACGTGAGTCCCCAAGACCCTCAGGCTCAGCCCGCAGAGTTGCAGGCTAGTGACTTTCTGGAGGGTGTTGGGACAGCCTCGGGAGCTCCTCCAGCTGCCAGCCCGGGATGGAAGGCGGGCCCCTAGCTCAGACCTGTCCAGGTGGGACGCTGACCCTGAGCAGGTGGCACTGGGCACTGGCCACAGACACCGTCTGTGGATCGCGGCACTGGAACAGAGGGGTGCTGGGTGGCCCTGGGGCCTATCGTGAACATAGGGTGGGGCTCAGACCCCCTGCCCGGTGCTGACGGCCCCCTCTCCGCAGCCTGTGAGCCGGAGCTCATGCCCACCTTCCCTCACCACCGCAACAAGCGGGCCACCCCAGCCACCTCTGAGAGCCAGAGCAAGCGCTGCAGGCCCTGACTGCTGGAGGCCCCTGCCGGCCAGGCCAACAGGTTCTCAAGACCCAGCTCAACCCTCTGCTGGACTCACCAGCTGCTTCAGCTGGCCATGTGGGTTCCTGCTGTCTCCACCCACCACTGCCCCAGCACCAGGGGTGAAGCCATGGTGCACCCTGGGCTGGCTGGCCCCACCTGGCCTGCGCTGGCGCCATCTGGTGGCCTCCCCGGGTCTAGCCCAGTGCTGTGCCGTTGGCTTGTAGAAGCTCCGAAGCACCTACTGGGCTCATCGCAGAGGGTGTTGCTGGCTTCGGACGTGCAGCCTCTCAGGGATGCTGTGCCCTCTCTCGGTCACCATGGTCTCCCCAGAGCAGGGAGAAGCTGCGGTGACCCCCAGGCCGGACTGGTGGGACCCAGTGACCAAGGTCTGGGCAAGGCCTTGGGCTGGGGGCTGAGCCCAGAGAGGGAGCCACACAGTTGGAGTGGCAGGAACTCAGAGATAAAAGCTCTCCTGACAGACGCAGGCGGGTCCCGTGTCCTTTATTGTACTTGAGGCTCTGTCCTGGGAGCGGGGGAGCCGGGAAGGAGGGGGTGGGCGCGGATGTCAGGCCGGCCACCCACCAGTCCAGTGAGTGAGTGGTTCCTGGAACCTGGGCAAGGGCTGCCCCTCCTTTCCTTGGCCTTGGAGCCCAGCCAAGTGCTGACTGGGGGTCCTGGGTGGGCTTCACGGGAAGCCGGGTGCTGGTGCCCCAAATGGCCTCACAGCCCCAGGCTCTGTCGGCCCTGCTGCTGCTGCTGCTGCTGCCCAGAGCTCCTGGTGCCTCTGTGCCCTGGCAGGAGGTCCTGCCCCTTCTCTGCCTGCGGGGCCAGCTTTCCCCCCACAGCTGAGCCTGGGCCAGTCAGCCATGCGCCTTGCAGAGTCCTCAGAGCTCAGGCTCCGTGTCACCTCCAGGTCCCCTGGGGCACTGGGAGGAGGCAGCATGTCCCAGGTCACAACCTGCAGGGAGCAGCCCAGGAGCTCCAGGCTGACTGCAAGGCCCCTGCTGTGCAGGGGGAGGGGCCCTTCATAGAGACAGACCCAGGAGCCTTGATGTGGGCAGCTGGGCCAGACTGCTCCACCCAGCACATTGGAGTCTAGGTCTGGGTGGCGAGGGTGGGGGGAGGAGGGGCAAGGGCTTTCCCGGGAAGCAAGAGCTGACCTCCTACCTGTGGGCCTGGCCTCTCTACCCCCCGCCGTGCCCAGGACTCTCCTCGTGTCCAGGGCAGCAGTGGCCCAGGCCTGATGAGGAACAAGAGCCAGCGAAGCACCATGGAAACACTCAGAAAGCCCTGGGCCAGGGGCTGGGCCGGGCGGGCCTATGGCCGGGCCCCAGGGCTGTCGTACAGCAGGGTGTCCACCTCTGCCCGCTGCAGCCACAGGCGCTGCTGCGTGTCGCCCAGCAACGTGTGCAGCTCGTGGCCCCGGCGGCAGGTGGGCAGGGCCGCGCAGTGGGCGGTGTGCAGCTGGCGGCACGTGTGGCAGCAGAGGGCAGGCAGGACACCAGGGGCCAGGCAGCTGTGCACCTGGTAGCCCGGGGACTCGGGGACCGGCCCGTGTGCATGCTGGGGGCCAGCCCGCCCGGGACTCCCGGGGCCCTGGGGGACGGCCCGGTGCCTGGGCTGACTCAGCTGCTCTCGATGCAGGGACAGGAGGAAGGCCTCCTCCGGCTCCTGCTCTTCCTCCTCCAAGGCCCCGAGGGGCGGGCTGCTGGCCCGCTGTGGCACTGCAGCCTCCTCCAGGGGCTCCCAGGCCTCCCTGCCAGCGCCCCACAGCCGGGCACTCTGCTCCCAGGTCAGAGGCCGGTAGGCGGCCTCTGGGGAGGGTGAGCTCGGGCCTGGAGAGGGCTCTCCGTACAGGCTGGCCTCCTCTGAGCTCTCGTCCTCCTGCAGGTCCCGGTACAGGTCCAGCTGGGCCCGGAACCTAGCCGGGGAGCCCCGGGGCGGCAGGGGGGGCGGCTCTTCTTCGCGGGCCAGCCTCTGCTGCAGCCACGCCACGCAGGAGCTCACATCCACACTGGCCCGCCGCGCCTGCAGCAGCACCTCGGCGGGCAGCACGCTGGTGCCCAGCTGCGCCAGCACCTCTCCCAGGATCTCACACTCCAGCCGCAGGGCGAAGCAGCCCAGGGCCACCTGCACCAGCTGGCAGGCGGGTGGCGGGGCCGTCACCATGAGGCAGTGGTTGTCCCCAGGCACGTAGCCCATCTTCTGGAAGCTCTGGACGAGGAGGTCCTCTGACAGTGCGCCCTTCAGCACGTGCACGTAGCCCCCCGAGAAGGTCTGCAAGGAAGGGCCAGTCAGAGGCAGCCCCGGGCCACCCCCCTCCCTCAGCTGGCGCCTGGTGCCAGGTGGCCAGAGCTTGGCTATGCTGACACGAAGGGCCACCCCTGGCCCGGGACTCATCAACTGAGGCAGCCCCTGGCACCGCAGCTCAAGAAACAAGTACTTTCTTCGGGCTCCTCAGAACAAGGCAAAGAGCCCCACACTGAGAACTCACTGCCTTCCAGCTACAGGGGGGTGAGGGCTTTCTGGGCTACAGACGGGGAGCAGCTAGAAGACTTCGTCAGGCTGGGACTCCGTGAGCGCTCCTCCGCCCACAGCTGCTGACCGCCTGCCTCCCTGTCAGCTCTGCGAGGCTCGGCTGCGTGCAGGCTCCGGACCCCGGGCTCTGCCTGCCCCTCACAATGAACGGACCTTTAACGGGCTGTTCTGTCCGTTTGGGAAGTGGCTTTGGGGAAATCAGGGAGCTTGCCCAAAGCCACACAGCCAGGAGGAGACAGACCCAGACTCACCCAGGTTGGCCCAACACCAAAGCCCAGGAGCTCCTCGAGGCCCCAGGCAGGCCCTGCGAGCCCCCGGCACCACCCCTTGCCCTCGGAAGAGATGAATGAGAGTCCTACGACCTCAGACGGGCTGGTGTCCTCCCTGAGCAGTGGGCTCCAGGGCTCACCACCCCAAAGAGGCTGCTGCCGCTGCCATGGCAACTGGCAGAGGCATTCCGCCCACATGCCCAGTGACATCATCACCTTCCCACTCATCTAAATTAAGCAAGGGGCCTGGCCCCTCCTGCTGGTGGCAGCTCACCAATGAGGCCAGTTCACACCCTCTGTACCTGGGCCGAGGGGTGAAAGAGGTCCATGCCCAGCCTGGCCCCCCAACCCTGCCTGCTTCACTAGGGTGCACCGACCTGGCTTCATTCTCCATAAACGGGATCAGCCCACATCCAGGACGGTTAGGGTGACCATGGGTCCTCAAGTCCCTCCCGTGCACCTGTCCTAGGACTCTTTATGACAACTGGGGCCGCAGAGACACTTGTGGGAGGGCAGTGATGGAAGCTTTCTGGGGCAGGGTGCCCTCAGGGAGCTCTGAGCCCTGAACCGCTGGGCAGAGGGCACCTGAAATCCCCCAGCCGCCATGCCTGCCCAAGGAAGCCCCCTCGGCGGGGCACCCACCTTGATGGTGGTGAACTCCTTCCTCCAGGGCAGCAAGTACAGGTGCACCGCGGCCAGCTCCAGCAGCTCGAAGGCGCGGGCCAGGCCGCGCAGCGCGGGGGCCAGGTCGGCGCGGCCCCACAGGCCGTCGGTGAGCAGCGCTAGCGCGTCGTCCTGCAGCGCCCCGTGCAGGTCGAAGTCTTCCACTAGGATCTGCCAGAGCACCGCACGCAGCGACGGGTCCCCGCACACGCCCGCGCGCCCGCGCCGCAGCTCGCGTTCCAGGCACAGGCGGTAGTCTTCCGACAGCGAGCGGCTGCCCATCCTGGCGGTGGGGTAGGGCTTTAGGAACCAGAGCCCCCTCCCACCCGCCGGGTGCCCCAAGACCACACCCGGCATTCCAGACCAGGCTCCGGACCCGCGACCCCGCCACCTAAGCCACCCCGGTACCTACAGCAACCCCCTTCCTGGAGATGCGCCGCGCCCCGCCCCGCCAGCTGAGTCCCCGCTCCCGAGCAGAGCACCCCTCGCCACCAGATGTTGCCGCGAGCCCCGTGGGCGACCCCACTACCTGTTGGTCCCCAACGGTCCCCTAGGCGCGCTGCTCAGCTCCGGCCTGTCCCCAGCAGGGCGCTTCCGCCGGGAGCCGGCTCCGCCCCTCGGCCTTGGCCGTGACGCTAGGGGTGGGGCTTGAGTCAGGCACCGCCCCCTCAGCTAACACAGCTGAGAGGGGCGTACCCAGGGGCGTGGTCTTTCCCTCCCCGGTGGAGCGGAGCTGGTTTGGGGAACTTCCACCTGGCTCCGCCTCGCTCCTCTCCCCGGCGCCGTGGCCTTTCGGGGAAAATTTTTCACTGAAGACCGAGGACAGAACAGGAGCTCCGTAAATGGACGGTGTCTCCCAGCGGCACGTCCGCCAAGGAGGCCCGGAGCTCGGATGGCCGCGCCCCGCTGTCTCCGGCCGGGCCCTCCGAAGTGCTCGGCCGGCCGGGGAAGCAGGGGCGCAAAGAATCTCCTCTTGAACCCGCCGGGCTGGGAGCCAGACGTAGGGCAGGGCTCCCCTCTGGCGGCGGGGGGGACCCTCCGCCTTACCTGGCAGGGTGAGTTGAGTGGGCGGGCGCAGCCCTGTCCTTTCCTGAAGTGCTGGTGGGCAGGGGACCGCAGCCCACACAGGACCCCGCAGGACAGCAGCCCCAGGTGCCCACCGGCTTCGAAAGCTGGCCTGCTGGGCTCAGACCCAGCTCCGTCACCAAGAGTCGTCTGCTGGAGAAGGCACCTCACCTCAGGCAGTGAGCCCACGGAAGGCCCGGGGCACTGTCTGGCCCAGTAAATGCCCGAAACGTCTGGTCGCCCTTTTGTGAGAGTGTTTCCCAAAGAACCTGAGCACCGCTCCGTGCCCAGCGTCTGCTGTGGGTGGGCCCACGCCGCCCACCTCTGGCCGTCCAGATTGCTGGGGCCCTCCTTCCTTGGCCGGCATTGCCCATGAGGGGGCCCGCCACCTGCTCTCTCCTCTCCTGGAGCTGCAGGTGCCTCCGCTCAGGGGCCCACATATATCTGCATTCCGGAGCAAAAGCTGATTCCTGAGAGCCCTTTGGGCTGCATGCTGTGGGATCAGGGTCTGCCCAGGTACGACCTCCACCCCACTAGGCTCCGCAGAGCCTCCTACCCTAGAGGGCACCCCGGGGCTACCCCAGTCCCTCGCAGAGCGCCTGGCGGCCGGCCTGGTGTGGTGGGTGGGCCACAGTGGTCTCTGGAAGTTTGGCTCTTGCTGGTCGGCCAGTGAGTGGGGAGCAAGCAACCTACTCAGGCAGAGATGTCAGCGAACTCTTTATTCTCAGCCAGCTCAGTGGCTGCTGGGGACAGGCAGAGTCAGGCCAGGCCGTGGGCTGCAGGCAAGCGCTGACCCCTGGGTCCACGCCAACTCAGAAGAGGATGTGTGGGGGTAGGAACCTGCCGCCCACTCACCTGATGCCCACTGCCCAGGGTGGGAAGGTGGCCCCGAGTCCCCGGCCGTGGCAGGTGTCCCGGGGACGCATGGGCCTCCAAGGGACAGTGGAGTGGTCAATGCCCAATAAATAAACAGTGCAGTCTCAAACTACCCAGGCCCCAGGTCTCCGGGGCAGAGGGCTGACATGCTCCCGACTCTGACAAGAAGCTGGCTCAGTGAGCTGTCTCAGGGGACAGAAGGCCCATGCCCTGGCTCCACCCTCACACACCGCGCCCCCCCCCCACCCCGGGAGCTGGCAGCTCTGGCTCCTTGCCGGGCAGGCTGCTCAGAGGCTGGAGCGGGAAAGAGAAGGGCCTGGTTCCTGGGAGCTGGTCAAACTTAGCCCCGTCCAGTCAGGGGCAGCCCCTGAGGCAGATGACAGGTCAGGGTGGGGGCAAAAGCTGCAGAGCCCCAGTGCCAGGGGCTCCTGCACAGTCCTCAGCAGAGGCCTTCCTCCTCTCCTTGCCCAGGGCCCCCCGGGGCAGCAGCTCCAAGTAGCTCAGGGCGCTCTGCAGTGAGGTCAGACAGTAGCCCCCCTCTCCAATCAGGTACCTGCGTGGAGGTGGCACCGGTCACTGAGGGGGTGTGAGGGGGCCCTGGCCTTGTAGAAGGGGCATCTGCCCTCAGGGGGCAGGGCCTGGACACTGGGGTCCCACAGGGGCTGTCAGGGAGGCTGGGTGGGGGGACAGCCCACCCCTCAGGCAGACACTGCTTAAGGCTTGGGCCCCAGCTCTCCCCACCCTCCCCTTGGCAGGGGGCCGAGCCGGGGGTGGTGGGAGAGCTGGGCTGGGGAGAGGGGCTGTGGGCCGGGTGCACAGCTGCACGCCCCGCTCCAGCTGGGGGCTCCTACCCCTCGTGGATGAACTCCTCCAGAGCGGCGCACTCCGACACCAGCTGCGGGAGGCCGCTTCTGAGCACCACGAAGGACAGGATGGGCAGGAGGTCGTCGGCACCGCTGCCGGACAGAGGCGAGGATGGCCGGGGGCTCTGGGGCCAAGGGGCTGCTCCATCGCCACACCCTGAGGCCCCAGCTCAGCCCCCGCAGAGGTCCTGGGCTTGCTGGCTGCTCTGTCTGCATTAGCACCACCCCCTGAGAGCACCTCCCCAGAAAGGCCCCACGGAGGACAGGTGGGGGTGGCTGCAACCTCACAAGCTTGTCTGAGCCTGGGGTCCAGGGTGATGGGGGGTGGCTCAGGTCCCAGGAGCCTGCTCACCCCTGAGATCAGGTGTCACTCAGCTCAGTACGCCAGGCACCCCAGGCTCTCCGAGAGAGGCATCTCAGTGAGCTGATCAGGGAGGGCCCAGAACCCCAGCACCCCAAACCAAGGGCCCCACAACCAGTGGTCTCTTGAGGAGAGCGTGGGGCAGACTCTGGCTCAGTCTGGCAGGAGGGGGTGCCTCTCACACGGTGAGCTCCTTCCTGCTCGGGCCCCGCCCCTTGTCCCCAAGCACCTCACGGCTGCAGGGACACAGGCAGGTGCCAGGGGAGGAAGCTGGTGGGGCTGCAGCCGGACTAAGCAAGCTTTCAGTCCTGGGACTGCCACCTGCAGTGACTCACTTGCAAGCTGGTGAAGGGGGCTGTGGGGGCCCGCCAGAACTCCCGGCCGACCTGGCCCTGGAGTGGGTGGGGTGGCACCTGTCTCCCTTTCCTCTGGGGGAGCCCTGCTTCTGCAGGGAGCAGCCCTACACTTCGTCAGAGTAGCCCGAGGGTCCCTGCCCCTAAGAAGCCCGTCAGAGAAGCCCTGGCCCCCAGGAGCATGGGTGGTCCACCGGGGCTAGAGCTGCTAGGGCAAAAAGCTGTGGCCCTGGACGCAGGTAGAGTGGGGGGTCCTGTCTCCCCCAGCCTCTGAGGGCAGCCCCTCCCGTGTCGGTGCCTGCCCCGGACTCACATGGCAGCCGAGCTGGGTGGTGGTCCGGCCTCGGGTGCAGGCTCCTGGGCCCGGTGGTAGCCCTCAGCACAGGCGCAGATAGCCCGCAGGGCCCGCACTGCACGCAGAAGGGAGGCTTTGGTGAGGGGCGGGGGACTCGCCCCCGACAGCAGACAGACAGCCGGCAGCCAGAACAGCTCGGGGCACCCACACCGCCCCTGCCCACTGCATGGCTGACCCTCCCTCGGATGTGGCCCTGGCACAGCTCAGGCCCCACAGGACACACCCCCTTCGACAGGAGGGGGGCCTGCGGCTCCCAGACAAGGCACACGGACCAGGGCACCCGCTGGGACAGGTCGCTGCCCCTGCTCCCTCCTCCCAGCACCCCTCACCGATGCACTCCAGCTTCTTCTGGGGGCAGCTCTCCAGGACCAGCAGCCCCAGCTCCTGGGCTGCAGCCCGGTAGGGGTAGGCACTGGCTCCCAGGCTCTCCGGGTCCTGAGGGAGCAGCTTGCTGGGGATGCCAAGGGCGGCCGGGGGTGCGTTCCTGTAGAGCTCCATGCTCCTGCTCAGGGCGGCCTCCCGGGTGCGGTGCACACTCCTGGGGCCGAGAGAGGCCAGGCTCAGCCGCCCGAGGGGCCCTGGCCGGCACAGAGGCAGGGCAGGAGGCAGCCAGCCCCGTCCCAAGTCCCGGGCGAACGGGAGCCAGCCGAGAGTGTGCCCAGAGCCAAGCGCCAGGGAAGCACAGTCCCGGGGGGGGGGGGGCAGGGGGGTCAGGCCCTGAGGGTGGAGAAGGGCAGGTGACGGGAAGGGAGACCCCACAGGGGCCCAGGGCAGGGATGGCACCTGTAGAGGGCCAGCAGCAGCGGCCACAGTGGGGAGAAGAAGGGCTCCTCGATGCAGGCCAGGCAGCGGTCCTTGGAGACGGCCGTGTTCAGGCCTTCGAAAGCCAGGAGGGTCAGCGAGAGCAGCCTGTCTGCCGGGACGGAGCCGGATACGGCACTGTGGGGCCAGCTGGCGGCCGCTGGGTGGCCTCTGGACGAGCCCCTCCCCCATCACTGCTCCTCCACCCTCCCAGGGCCAGCCTCGGCGTGGCCGGGGCCACAGCCAGCGTCCCGGCTCGGTGGTGGAGGGGCATCTGCCTGGCCCTCCCTCTACCCCCTTCACACCAGCTCCCCCCACAGTCCACGCAGCCCAGGCCCAGGCCCAGAGCTGGGGTCTGGCCCCTCATCCCTGGGCGGTCACAGGGTCCCGCCCAGCCTCCCTGAGGGGCGGAGGGGGCCGGCCTGGGCAGGAGCGCTGAGCAGGGGCTCTTTCTGAAAAGGGTTTGTACCCAAAACTGCAGGAACCTGGAGAAACTTGAGCAACACACTTGAAGACAAGCAAGCTCAGGCCCAGAGAGATGGGGTGCCCTCCTGGGGATGAGGGAGACCTGCCCAAGGAGATGGGGGAGCCACCCAGGAAAGACAGGCATCGGGCTGGGGAGAGGGGCCCCGCCCCGAGTCCCTCAGACAGCGGGGCCCGCGGTGAGGACAGGGCCCCGGGCTGCCAGGCCTTCATCGCTGGCGCTTAGGGAACCCTGGAACCGCCCTCCTTGTTTGGGACTGGGCAGCCACGGGCCGCCCTGGACCCACCCTTGGGGAACCCACGTACTATTCGTAAGGTGGGAAACGTGGGGGGTGGGCCCATGGTTGCTGCCAGGCTGCACGCGTGGGACAGTCTTTGGCCTGGAAGGACTCGGAGTCCGAGACAGCCCGGAGGACCAGCTGGCTGCCAGAGGCTCCGAGGGCGGACACCCCGCTTCACAAGACTGCCATGGCCAGC